TTTCAGGTGGTACGGCCGACCAATGGATTGCAGCGGTTGCCAGAACCAACGCGACCGTCGAACTCGTCTGCACCTCTGGGCGCCCAGGTAATGTTGAGCTCCGCTTATCGAGAGCTGGAGATGTCAGTAGATATTTGAGTGTAATACAACTTTGAACACTAGCCTTGTCAATAAGAAAACAAGTGTCGACTGAAGATCACCACTTCTTTTATACTTGCATACGTGCAGGCCTTCCTACACTGTATCCCGCTTACTGTCCAAACGCGGCCTGAAAAGTACCCCGCCACTAGGACGAAAACCACCCCACCATCGGTCCCTCTTGTAGACTTTGTAGGGCGCTGCAACTTCTGCGACGGCGACTTTCCCAGGGTCGACGCAAGAAACCACGGGGCGCTCTCCTCGATCCTTCGGCACCAACAACCACACTGTCGGTCCAAGTCTTGAAGAGAAGACACAGACGAGATGCCGCGAGACCCGCTCATCGGCCTTGTCGGCAAGCCGTCTGCCGGCAAGAGCACAACGCTCAACAGCCTGACGGACGCAACGTCTAAAGTCGGTTGGTAGCCCCTCCTCTTACCCCTTTCACACGGGCGCAAAAAAAAAAGAAGGAAAAGAAGAAGAAGCATGGCCAGATGTGGACAGGCGCGCTGACGGATGCATGAACAACAGGAAACTTCCCGTAGGCTCACGGCCCCCGCCCCGCCAACCGAAACACGTCCGACTGACCAGATATTGATGGTGACAGCTTCACAACGATCGACCCGCAGCGCGCGATAGGCTACCTCCAGATCCCGTGTGCGTGTGCGCGGCACGGCGTGTCGGAGAGGTGCAAGCCCAACTACGGCTCGTGCGTCGAGGGCACGCGGTCGGTGCCGATTGAGCTGCTCGACGTGGCGGGCCTGGTGCCGGGGGCGCACCAGGGCAAGGGGCTCGGGAACAAGTTCCTCGACGACCTGCGGCACGCGGACGCGCTGATCCACGTCGTCGACGCTAGCGGCACGGTGGACGCCGAGGGCAAGGAGACGCGCGGGTACGACCCCTCGGTGGACATTGCCTGGCTGCGCAGCGAGATTGTGGCGTGGATCAAGGGCAACCTGTGGGAGAAGTGGGGGGAGCATCCGGCGGCGGCACGTAGCCATCAAGGCGACGGCGGTTGAGACGCTGCAGAACCAGTTCTCGGGCTACGGGTCGACGGCGACGGTCGTGGCGCGGGCGCTCGACCGGCTCGGCGTGCGCGAGCCGCTCGAGGAGTGGGACGAGGCCATGGTCGACCGCGTCGTCAACGCCTTTACGGATGAAAAGTTTCCTACCGTCATTGCGCTCAACAAGATCGACCACCCGGATGCCGACAAGAACATCAGCAAAATTGCCAAGATGCAGAACCCCGACACGATTGCCGTATGCTCGGCCATTTCGGAGATTTTCCTGCGCAAAATGGCCAAACAGGGGTACATCAAGTACACCGAGGGCAGCGAGTTTGTCGACACGCGCGAGGACCTCATCGAGCAGGGCGACCCGACGGGCGGCGGGCTCAAAGAGCTCGACGAGAAGAACCGGAACCGGATCGAGAACCTCAAGGACATGGTGCTGTACGCTTCGGCTCGACGGGCG